TTCACGTAATAAATAGACTATTTACATAACTTAATGAATAGGCTATAAACTTTTACTGGTGGTAGGACCTCTTGTGAGGCTGCACGGGTTGGTACCACCGCCCCGCTTATTTCTGCCGTGAAGCAGTAATGCGTTTCGGTTTGAAGGGTGGGGCAACCGTTGTAACTATATTTGAGACTTTAGAACTTATGTCTCTAGTTGGGTGGCGCATTTACGTTGTAGATTTCTATGGGCTCCAGTAACCACTTAACGCCAGGTGGGCTGTGAGATCGACCACCCATCTAAGCAATAACAAAAAAACAAAAGTATATTAGTCACACGATTAAATTTTTTATTTTTTTTATTTCATTATATTTATGAGTGTAATCCGCATCCACATAAACTTTGAAGTACACATTCGCCACGTCGTATATAATATATGTGTGTTATGACTACAACTCGCGAAAACCCAAGAGAATACTGTAGTTAACCCATTGAGCGCGAAACGTCGATAGATCGACTCTCTGTTAATGTGTATAAAGCGCGGAGCGTCGGAATACCGACTATTGCGCAGTTTGATTATAGGTATTAGGTATTGACCTCTACGGATAACAATTCAAAATTATTTTGCTGTGAATTTAGCATTGTTTTGGCATTGTGGCTATTATCAACGTATTTGATACGCCACTTTGGATACATTGTTTGCAAAAATCCTGACAACATCGAAAAGCAGATGGTAGTAAGTTATGTCGACAGGAAAACGACTTCAAGAAGGTAGCAACGTCGTGGTGTGTACGGGCCATAAACTAATCAGGTCTATTAATATTTAAAAAAAAACACATGCTATCATCACAATTTCACTGGTAGAATCACAATAGAAATGCGATATTTCGAGTATAGTCTGTTACTGTGAGCATTCGTAAGCTTTTTGTCGACGTTTACATTTCTAGAAGTTGTCTTTGACTACTGGACGATGACTGAGTGAATACCTTCGGTTTTCCAAAAGAAAAAAAGAATGTAAGTGAATTAGCACATCGCATTAACACTTGTGTTTTTACGTTCGAAGGCTTAAGTGTTTTTCGCAACTAAGTTAATGTAACTTTGCGGTCACTTAACAACCGAAAATAGGTTTAAACAAAAATCAAACAAACTTGAACTAATATTTGGAGGCGAAATATTTGTACAATTAGATGACTCGAATATTTCTCATATGAAAGAAGTAGGTAGCAGTTTTAGTAGCGCTCATCGGGCACAAAAAAATCGCACACCACAAATATCTCAATACAAATAGTGTCTAGCTAATTCTAAAGTGAACAAGGAAATATAATTTTAAAACATATGTAAATAAGTACTAGCTACCGAGTGTTGCCCTGCACGCGTTTTACGCAAGAGCATCCGGGTGGTGGAAGGCCGGCTATCCTCGACCCACGCGGGTTCTGACCCAGCGGGGTATTCCGTAGGATAATCCATTCTAACCGGCACTATCTAGGTGGGATTCAGATAGCCTGCCGACCGAGAGAGCTGGTGGTCTTAGCGCCGACGACCGCCAGTCCGGCGTTCCGAGGGGGAGGGTGATGGGAGAGATGTGCTCCGCACTAAACGCTTCACTTTCCCCTCTTTGCCTTTTCATGAGTTCTGTCTCATGCGAGGTTGGGACGTTAGTTGTTGAGCGACAGGAGGCTTTAGTAAGTTTGACTCCGACATGCTCGGCCCGCTATCCCCAGTGAAGAGCGGGAGTCCGGCGATTTCCTCCTGACCAAAAAAAAAATAAATCTGCCGAGTGTAGACGATATAAAACCTAACTTTTTCTCTGAGGCTTTGTTCAAAATATCAAGGCTCTATCGCATCAACAAGTTCGTCTAAAATCAAGTACAAAACTCAGACTGATCAGGGTCATTAAAAAACCCCTCAAACAATACTGAGACCTTAGAACTGATATCTCAAGGTGGGTGGCGCATTTACGTTGTAGATGTCTATGGGCTTCAGTAACCACTTAACACCAGGTGGGCTGTGAGCTCGTCCACCCACCTAAGCAATAAAAAAAAAACTTGAGAAGTGCCTGGAGAGGCTGGTCGTCCAAGGTCCAAAGGGGAGACCTCGTGGACAATCCTGACTTGTTGTACCGACGTCATCAGGTGAGGCACTCAATCTACTTGTACCCAATGTCTGGTAAGAACTCTAATTCCTAGACAGGGATCGTGGTTGAAGCAATGGGAAGATCACCTGTATGCCAAATCGTTGGAATTACTATGACAAGCGTGCACGAATGGACTCACAATGTTGTGATTTTCATTTTACTGAGCGTGGGGATGCAGTTTAGCGTAATAGGGGGTCATATTATATTGATTCCACGTGCTAACGGTTGATTGTTTATTTATATAATTAGGTGTATCAACAATCAATGCAAAACATCGATGAACTGACAAGAAGTACATGACAAATGTCACTTTATTTAGGTACAAACTACTTTAAAGGTCTATGGCACAAATGACAGTGCAATCCATAGATTATACACTTGTGCAATCGTTGACGACATCTTGAAATGAAAAATTAAGAAGAATTGATTAAGAAAATAATAATATTAAAAAAATATAAATTCCAGAATAATACATTTTCACTTAAGTATCAAAAATTATAAAAACTACTCTTAATCAGAGATAACAAAAAAATTGTAAAAATTGATTACAATTGATGTTGATAAATGATGTTCAACTTCGTCTAAGTTTGCACGTCTTTATGATATTGGGATTGCTAGGGTAGTTCGTCTGTCATTGCAACAACATATACGAAGCTAATGAATAACCCATAAAATTTGAAACGATTCAATTTTATGAGTCAATCATATTTTGATTTAATCGCTGGTAATCTAAAAGGTAATACTTACGTTACATCTGATTGGTTTTAACGACTCACAAATTAATAGTTTCTATTATTAATAGTATCTATTATTTTTCTAAGTTCATAGTGATTGGTTGTAAATGTCGCTGTTTAGCTAAAAACATAATATTCGTAATTAGAACGCTTGATATATGAGTACAATGCAATGATCGTTGTTTATAATAATTCTCTCAGATAGAGCACTTTATTTAGCACTAATTTTCGTAGCATATATTTCAATATCATTCATCATTCATCTGATCAAAATACTTATCTTATTCCATTTATTTTTATTGATATGAAGAGTCACCCGGATCTGTTTTGACCATCCCAATGTACATTCAGGGTCTAAGTACTGCGTGAACTAACTTTCCTTGGACAGATATCCTATAGTTCTTGGAGCAGTGAATGTGCGGGTTAATTTTAATGTCTAAGGCACAGCTGTAAATTAGTAGGCCAATAATAACCTTATCTCATATTAAGAATAAAAAATGTAATGAATCTTTGGCATAAGCTAGCAAAAACCTATGTAGCACACAAAGTTTGTAAAGTATTGTATTTTTTATTGCCGAAGATATGTCAACGAGCTCCTAACCCACTTGATGTTTAGTGGTCTTTGGAGCCAATATCATCATCTGTCTAAAGACCAGGGTATAAAGTTTCAAGGACTTGACGGTGGTTGTTTTGACGTTCAACAAGTATTTACTTTCATTTATGTTGAATAATTTTTTTTTGATTTGATTTGATTTTATTTGATTTGAAAATATGTATATCCTTTAAACTGGACGTCGCAAGAATAAATACATAAGTGGGAAGAACCTATGTAAATTTGTGACATGACAATGAGGAGGGTAAGAAGAAATAAGTTTTGAGTAAGTATACGATTCGATTTTAAATACCACTTTGAACTAATAATTAATATACAATAACAAAAAGTATTAACCAACCATGTGATGCTTATTTGCATACCGCGAAACGGAACAAAGACTACATTACAATAACTAAACTCAATTATTTAAACAAATTTACTCCTAAATTAAGCGAGATACATAAATATAAATGTTTCTGCAAATCGGAGCAAATCTTGAAGGAGAAAGCGCATTATTATCGCCGTGAAGCAATCACATCCGCGAATTCGGCTCAAATCAATTCCAAAACATTACATAAAGCCAGGACACGTGGGCTTAACTACTGAGCAATAAACTGATTTTGTATTCGAATTGAGAAATAGCCGGGGCCTTGGACCTCAGACTCTATTGACAAATGAGCTTTCGGCTGTTAACTTAGAGAATGGGTTGTCCATTCAATTTGTACAGGAGAAACTTTTAGCTATTGAAAGTGATGTATTTACTACGATTTTTTCATAAAATGGGATGCTGATCTTCTTTTTTAATTATCTTTATTTATCTCTATCTTACAATTATCTCTTAATCTTGTGCAAAATTTGGCATTCACTAATAGAACTATAATTCAGAACAGAACAGTTTTCTTGATTTAATTTAAAGATTTTTCCTTAAATTTAATACTAGTGAAGTCAGACGTTATACAGAGCAGTGTTATGTAAAGAATGTGATAGTGTTACCTCCTCGCACCGATTCACCTAACAGCTAATTGACCGGCGTTACGAAATGCTGAGGTAGAACCTTCTAATATTTAGTCCGAGGATTTCATCACAATGCTCCACTCACCGCGAAACGTGTGATAAATATGAATAATTAAATATGAGGCTATTAACGTAATACGCTAATTTGTGGGTGTGTAATCTGATGCTGCCAATCTTATTACGTCTGTGGTTAGGCGAGCTCTCGGCTGGATGGCCGGCAATTTCGCAACGACAAACCTGATTCATTTATCGTATGCCGGCAGTTTAAAAGTAAAAGTGGCCAAGCGAGTGAAACAAAGCGAACGCCAGGTTCACTGGACAAACAAAATCTCATATTAGTGGAATAATTTCGCCTTCAGTCGCTGACGGGCCGAAAACTCGAGCGCTGACATCATCCACGACTTGTACTTTCGAGAACACTCAAACGTGACCTTATGCTAATATGCTTTTGGGTTCTTGGGTGGCCAAGGAGATCGTGCGTCCAGTGCCACACGAGAAAGTCGACGAAATTAACGAAGCATATACAAAAATAGGATTTTATTTACAGAAACTTATATTAATATAATACATATTACTCTAAGATGCGATCACATGATGTTTCATTACATAAATTGTTATGTAATGATAAGATATGACTATGACTGAGTTCGTTTAATGATGGGGAGCGCCGTAGGACGATGATGGGGATGGGACTCCGTATGATCCTGAGGGGACTCCGATGGTGCTGTAGCTGATGGAGGGTGAAGAGTAGGAGTGACCGCCGCCGGAGTAACCACCATGACCGCCGCTGGAGTAACCAGAGATGCCAGAGTAGCCAGAGTAACCACCGGCATAGCCACCAGCGTAGCCTTCTTCAGCCTGGTGATACTGGGCGACCTGGATGGCTTGCTGGAGATGCTCCAGTTCGATGCCGACGATTCTGTCGTGGGGTACGCCGTAGACAGGAGCGGGGGGGCCGTAGTGGGAAGAGACGCCGTGTCCGTGACCATGGGAAGAAGAGACGGATTGGTAGGCCTGGTTCTGGATCTCGTCCTTAAGGATGATGGTCTTGATCTTCTCGAGCAGATGGGGGTCTACACTGTAGCCCTCGGTTTCCTGGTGTCCGACAGGCACCGGGGTGTAGTGTCCCCCGCTGCTGAGGGAAGAGTGTCCTCCGATGACGATGGACGAAGGAGCGGAGTAGCTGTACCCGACCGGAGGCTCGGCGGCCACGCAGCCGATCAAAGCGAGGGCGACCTGCACAACAAACATTCAAATTAGTGTCGTAACATCCAATCGAGCATATTAGAATAATCATATGCTAATCGACCGGTCACAATCCTAAACGATTTCGCATCGATTTCCAAATACAAAATTTTCGAAGGATATATTTGTGAGATAATTCGTCTGGAGATCACGTTAAAATTCGATATCGATTTTCACTCGGGCTCCGTATGTAACACAACACTACACGTATCACTGCACTCCAATAGCACATATGAACTTACTATCAACTTGGCCATTGCTGTTGTTAACCGTTGGATGGTTCGAGGAGGTATGATGCTGTGAGTGGTGCCGGCCGCTTTTATACATGGGGATTCTGCCGAGCGACTTTTACTTCGGGGCTCGGTCCATCCGGGCGAGTACCGAGGACGAGCTTGGCGTACAAATAGTCGCGTTTTTTTTTTTTGAAGACTGCAAGAGGTCGGGTGATTTATTTTGTTTAGACTTCAAACTTTATTTGGTCAAAAAAAAGACAAGCACGTATGTCGTACTTTTTTTTTTTTGGGAACATAGTTTCGTAATTACTTTGGTAATTTGTTTGCGTGTCTGTCAGTTTGGTTCTATATCTGTTTGTGATGATAATTTCAATTTGAAACTTAAACGTCATAAGCAGGTTTGTCTGTCTATACTTCAATTCTTATTCTTTTGATTTCTACCTAAGTCATCGTATGGCGGTATGCCATCAGCGATAGGTCTATGTCTATCACAAAACTTTCGTTCTATCTTACCGTTTTCATTTTTTAGGATACGATATACATATACGGTTCGGATGGATTTGGCAGTCTGACCCTTGGCTCCTATGCCAATTTTAAATAAGGTGTACCATTAGCTAGCATTAGTAGACTATGTGACATTATATACATGGTATGCAGCGGATTGGCTCTGCCCTTGGCACTGCTGACGTCCATGAGCGACGGTAACCACTCACCATCAGGTGGGCCGTATGCTCGCCGGCCTGTAATAAAATATAATTATATATATTGACCTCATGATGAAAACATCAATAATAAATTTCGCGGTTTTTTTTTCCTATGCTGATAGCCTTGAAAGGCTATTTCAGCTTCGCCTTGACCTGTATTTGAGCTCTCAGGGCTCAACCGGAGGTGTTGCTAATACTGGCCCTAGCAAGAGTAGTGCTTTGCAGAATCTACCACCGGATCGGAAACGCGACCCACTGAGAAGATCCGGCGAGAAACTTAATGGGCTGTGTCTATAGGTTAATTAACTCGTCGAGCCCTTCGTCGCAAGCGGCGGCTTCGGCGAGGACGGTGACCGGAAACAGTAATCCGCGGTATAGTAATCAGGGTTACCAACAACTAAACTAAGCCAACTGGGCAATCATATTGCCTTTTAATAACTTTATATTTTCATTTGTAGGTTATCTGTAAGAAAGCAGTTTTAAGAACACGCCTTGTACTTTGATCTATCAGTAAGTCGTCCCCTCGATCAACCCTCGACTTCGTCCACCCATCCTGGTTAGCCAGCAAGGTTGCCGAGCCAACAGCTGTTATTCCAACCCAAAAAAAAACATTCAGCTACGTTTACTTTAATACAATGATATTATATGTTTATTTTTATTATATTATATGTTTTGATGTAACAAAAAATTTCAACTCAAATTGACAAAAAAAACCCGACTCTGCATGACATCACATTTTTTGAAAGCCATTTATTAAATGTTTTGTAAAATAATTCCGATTCGACTTTCAGATTTTTACGAATTTATATATATGCATGATAAACATTAAATACATAACAGGCATTAAGTAATATACATATATTTAGTATTGATGTTTAAATTTATTTAATGATATTCTCAGATCGAAATTCCTCAAAACTTTTGAAAACAAATCTTAGCAAACAGCACAGTGAGTTTTTAGAGGACAAAGTGTTGACAGAATCAGCAGCATAGACTAGACCAGAAAACAGATTGGTTGAATGGAAGAATAAGTACTTCATAACTTTTATTTGATATGACAGGCTTTTTTATGGCAGAGGGCTCACGGTCAACCTGTTGTTATAATAAGTGATCACCCGAAGTCATAGACATTACAACGTGAATGACACTAATAATTTTGAGACTAAGGGACAACTATTGTCAAACCGGCACGCATTACAGCTTCATGGCAGAAATAGACTGAGTCTACTGATTTTGATTTTTTACTGATTTTTTTACTGGTGGTAGGACGTCTTGTAAGTCCGCAATAGTAGGTACCCACCACCCTGCCTATTTCTGCCGTGAAGCAGTAATGCCATTCGGTTTGAAGGGCGGGGCAGCCGTTTCACTGTTAAAAGTGAAACCTTAGAACTCACATCTCAAGGTGGGTGGCGGGATTTACTTTGTAGATGTCTATGGGCTCCGGTAACCACTTAACACCAGGTGGGCTGTAAGCCCGTCCACCCATCTATGCAATAAATAAAAAATAAAATCTACGTGTCACATAGAGTTACAAATTTGAAATTGCTCGATTAGCTTTATTGGTTACTACCATTCTGCCCATATCTGCCGCAATTAAGCGATACGGTCTGAAGTTTCGGATAGCTAAACATAATACAGGTCAAACTTCGCACTCATGTTTCGAAGTGGATCGCGGGGCTAATGTTGTGACTTCTACTATTACATGTCAGATTGGCCGTGAACTCCTCTGCCCAGAGCAATTAAAAAAATACTTTTCACGTTTGACATTACATACCTCGTTGGTCAAGTGGAATCGATAGGGATGTAGGAATTGCCAAATGAATTTATATTATTGTCGTATTATCAATTTTTTTGGATATTCTGATTTTTGTTTTCTTCGATATTAAAGTCTCTTTATAGAAAAAAATCATACTAAATAATATTTATCATAATTGAAATTTGAAATCGATCGAAATTTGTTTATATGAGATTACCGAAAACTATTGAATAGTTGACTTTTTTCGATTCATTATATTGGTTCGAGCTTGATTCAAACTCTAAGCACATTACGAAGTTCTTTGTGTTTATAGCTCACGGAATTTTGCTATTAAATAGACTGACAAGTCTATTTAATACTAATACTAATATATTAATACTAATATTTAATACTAATAATAATTTACAGTTTGCGTTATAATAATCACGATTAAAATCTTGTGTTTCTCACTATTTCATAACGTTAATTAGGAGCAATGACTTTTGTTTAATTCTCTAACTTTTCCTTTTAATGAGTACTAGACTGTAATTCAAGACGAAAAATAAGTTGCCTTAATCGTTTCTTCGTCATGACATTCATTCGTCTCAACTCTAATCTGTATCTATACTAATATTATAAAGAGGAAAGATTTGTTTGTTTGTTTGTATTGAATAGGCTCCGAAACTACTGAACCGATTTAAAAAATTCTTTCACTGTTGGGAAGCTACGCTATCTCCGGGTGACGTAGGCTATATTTAATATATTTAAAAAAAAATTAGGGATTCTCACTGAAACTCTAATAATACAACCCAATGTGTAAAAAAATTACCTAATATTCTTTACATCGCGTGCGCTACTTACTTCCCAAGCGAAGTCGGAGCGGGCCGCTAGTTTATTATAGTGAGCATGATTAATGATGTTTATCATCAAATAGAACGAAGCTCACCTGACACTCAATACAAATAAAACACGCCCAGTAAATTTCGCGACCTATGACATAATGTCATTAGACTAATGACAGTTGACAGAGACCTTGTCACATCCGTATAAGCCATACAATGAGCACTGTATGTGTGATGTAATCCACTGTACATCAATGTCAAAAGGTCATTGACACGCGTCTTACGGTAGTGCAAATATCATTGGCACATACAATTCAAATTCAATCAGTTCTGTTCGATCTTTCCGTTGACTAAAACAGTATTTGAAGATTTATTCGATAAAAGGATGGTAAGGATAATAGGAACTGTTTTAAAAGCAAACTAAGTTTTAAAATATTATAAAAAAGTGAGTTTTTGTATTTGGAACGAAGTTCCTTATGAGACGATGCGGAGGGGTACCCTAACCGGGAAAAAACGTCCGTAACGTAAGATTTTTTCTATTTAGTTTGTTATCCACAGATGTCGCTGCACGTAAATTCAACAATTCCTGAATCGCGGTGACGAGATGTTACACAGTTGATAGAGGTTCTCGTATTTCTCTTGCTAAATCACACTCACCTGGCGTAGGGGACACCGTGATCGTGCAGGCGGTTCCCCCAGGGCGAGGCTGCTCTATTGCACTGCGTAGTGGTTGACCCTTGCGATTAATTTTATTTTTATCAATAAAAAATCATAATAAAAAATGTATACCCAAAACATTATATTCTTTATACCTCGAATAGAACTTGAAATTAATATTTTTATAATATAATAAGGAACTTCGTTTCAATCCGGTGCCGCACGACACCAGACTTCTTTTTATATTCTACAATTCACGAAGGAAAGTTTGCATATCAGCTTCACGACAGAAATAGTTAGGTTTGGTAGATTCTCTTACGACCATACAATACAAAATACCTTTACCAAGCCAACAGTTTTAGTGAAGCCTACGACATCCCATGCTAATCGGGACGATGTAGATTAAGGTACGGTTTTTACTTTTAGCTCTGGCGCTTAGCACGTTACGTTTGTTCTAGTTGTGCAGTTATGCTTCTGAAAAATGAAAATGCCGGATGTCATGGCTTCAAAAGCATCCACCATCAGGTGGGCCGTATGCTCGTCTGCCTACAAGGGCCATAAAAAAAAACGCTTTTCCTAATTAAGGTCACGGAAATTAATTACCAACCTTAACCTTTTATATGTTTAGAGGAAAAGGTAGTCTGGATGGTATAGGTAAAATGGATGAATTGTGTAAAAGACGATATGTGTAAGAGGGGAGTGAGCGAATAAATGGTATATGAGAGAGGAGTATGGAAGGAGAGAATCTCTGCGCCGACCCTAGGTGACTGGGAGAAGGGTAGGTCAATGATGATGAACCTTTTATATGTTTCATAAAAAAAATTATTATCAAACTTATCACAACTAAATGCAATAGTTTAGTTTTGGTCAGAAAATTTTGCGATTAAAACAATTGCGCAACATTTATGATACGAAAAAACGAAGGATGGACAAACCGAAATAATTTGAATTTTTTATGTTGTAATAATTACGAATATCTATCATGTAACCTACACACCCAGCCATTATTTTGACCATTCAAAAATATTAAATAAAGCCTTCTATGTAAAATACGATCAGCTTTATTAGGCGTTATTATAACACGGTGAAGAACTATCAAATAGGGGTTTTCATTTGAGAGAGAGA